ATATATACAATCATTTAGTTATCTATCATGCTAACAAAGCCAACTCAACTTACCGAGTTGATATTGATTCACCGCGAGGCCTTGATGTGAAAGTTGAACCAACTACACTTGTTTTTTCTGAGGTGAAACAAAAATTGAGCTATCAAGTGACATTTACACCTTTTGCTACACCAAGTACCATATATACTCAGGGATCTCTCAGATGGATTTCTGAAAACCATATTGTTCGGAGCCCCATTGCTGTTGGGTTTTCCGATTTATTTTGAAGAAATAAATGAAGGATCTGATCTCAGTGATACACTGATCAAGATTTTTCATTTGCAATAAAACCATCTTCAAGATGTTAACTTTGGTTTATTATTTCATCTATTTAGCCATGTGTCTACATTGTAAATGTATTTCTTCTTCTGTTGCACCCCGCCTTGTCACCCTCACCCTCATCAGACCGCACTTGTAAGACTATACTGAGTATGATATTGTTGTTGTTTGCAATAAAAACAAATATTATGTTGTCTTTTTTCGCTCTTGTCAATACTATCATATTCATATTCTTAGCATCGAACTCACTACCTTCACTTTAAAATTACGGTTCACATATACATCCGAGTTCTGTGTCAAAAATAATGGGTTCAACTGAATCCGCAATACTAAGTCTACATACGCCACTAATGGCATGTTTGGTGTTTTTTCTTGGAAATGCATACTTAGCTTAAAATAGAAGTTTAAGCTGACAAGAAAGATGTTGTTCTGTTCCTTGTTTGCGAAGGATTTAGAAATATGGAGTTAAGAAGGCACCACACATGGTTTTTATCATTAAAAACAAAATGTCATTTTACGTGGTAATGCTTGATTTTGTCAATATTGACAAATCTCAAAACTTATAAACTAAGAAAGCATATATTTATGCAAGTAATTAACAAAATTATTTGGAGGAGGTGCAAGCTTATAACATTATTTTAGTTCTCTTTCATCATCTCTCCATTGATTAAGAGAGATAATATAGGGGTGTTCATATAGATTGTATATTTAATTATGTATTTCGGTGTAGTATTTGATATTTCAATATTTGTAAATAAATACCGAATACCAATTTTTTTTTAAATAATGCACATCATAAATACATATTTTCAGCTCAAGCTGCGAGCTGATAAAGTTGTCTGGTATATTACTTTAGGTGTGCCCAAGTTGGCTCGAACATTACTTATATAGAAAAAGCATATTGTAGACCACCGACTTCTCCGTGTCTATATGCTGTTGCTATGTCAATTTCATTATCAAAGAGAAATTAAAATATAACCATATTGTGTTTAGCGTGTAGATGACCAAATCAATTTCTATTTTTTTATTTAATCCAAGAATCTCCAGGCATGACTATTTCACATATCTACAATTGCTTCTGACTAGCAAATAAAAATATATACTTCAATGACTATATATATATTATATACCCTCAATCAAATTTTTAAAATTCTACAAATAAATATATCATTTTTCTAACTTCAATATCCCTCCATTGTAGATATAATCCAAACTCATATTTCTTAAAGTTGTCATGGCTCAATTTAGTTCAATTGTCACAATAATTGGGCTAATTTGTGTTTTCTTTTTATTCACCAGTAATGCAACTGAACATCCTGTTTATCAAAGACCAAAAGAAGATCAAGAGCAGAGAAATTCAGAAGTCTATATTGTTCATTGTGAGTTCCCGGATGGCGATAGAGGTACCAGATATCAAGATTTAGATAGCTGGTATCTTTCTTTCTTGCCTGCAACAACCTCAGATAGTTCTCGTGAGGCGCCACGTTTGATATATTCCTATCGAAATGTTCTAACAGGTTTTGCAGTTAAGTTGTCCCCGGATGACTTAAAGGAAATGGAGAAAATGGAAGGATTTATCTCAGCACGCCCCGAGAGGCTACTTGATTTATACACCACACATAGTGTCAATTTCTTGGGGTTGCACGAGAACATGGGGTTCTGGAATGACTCGAATTATGGGAAAGGTGTGATTATTGGAGTTATTGACACGGGGATTTTCCCGGATCACCCTTCGTTTAACGATGATGGGATGCCACCTCCCCCTGCTAAATGGAAGGGTAAGTGTGAATTTAATGTCACAAAGTGTAACAACAAGCTCATTGGCGCGAGGTACTTCCAGTCCTCAGGGAACGAAACATCATGGGACGAGATAGGGCATGGTACACATACTGCTAGCACGGCTGCTGGACGTTTTGTGCCAGGTGCTAACATTTTTGGTAGTGCTAATGGCACAGCCGTGGGCGTTGCACCTCTTGCTCATGTTGCAATGTACAAGGTGTGTTCTGCTCTCACTTGCTCTGAGAGCGATGTTTTGGCTGCAATGGATATGGCTATTGATGATGGCGTCGACGTACTTTCTCTTTCCATTGGTACATTAACTAACAATTTCTATGAAGACAACATTGCACTTGGTGCATTTAGTGCTATGCAAAAGGGAATTTTTGTCAGCTGTGCTGCTGGAAATTCAGGGCCGTCCAGATTTTCAACGTCTAATGAAGCGCCCTGGATTTTAACTGTTGGTGCAAGCACGATCGATAGGAAAATCAAAGCCACTGCTGTGCTTGGAAACAATCAAGAATTCGATGGAGAATCAGCCTTTCAACCTAGTGACTTTCCTCCAACACTGTTGCCTCTTGTCTATCCTGGAAGCAATACTAGTAACTTTAATGCTAAATATTGTACCCCTGATTCGTTGAATAACACGAATGTCATGGGAAAGATTGTGTTGTGTGAGGTTGGTATAACGGCACGAGTTGATCAAGGAATAGCAGTTGAGGCAGCTGGTGGTGCTGGCATGATTCTTATGAATCCAGAAGACATGGCTAACACAACATTGGCCGAGGTACATGTCCTTCCGGTCACACACGTTAGCTATACAGCTGGTTTAAAAATCAAAAAGTATATAAACTCAACATTGATCCCTACTGCAACAATAGTATTCAAGGGAACTATAATCGGAGATGATCGTGCTCCAGTGGTTGCTGGATTTTCTTCCAGGGGTCCAAATTATGCAAGTCCTGGAATTCTAAAACCGGACATTATTGGTCCTGGTGTTAATATCCTAGCAGCATGGCATATTTCCTTGGAAAACAACACAAATACCAACTCGAGATTCAACATGATCTCAGGCACCTCAATGTCTTGTCCTCACCTCAGTGGCGTTGCAGCACTACTAAAAAGTGTTCACCCCGATTGGTCTCCAGCTGCAATTAAGTCAGCAATTATGACAACAGCCGATGATTTAAACCTCAGATCCAACTTAATTGAGGATGAGACGTACCTTCCAGCTAATGTCTTTGCCACAGGTGCAGGCCACGTTAATCCATCAAAAGCAAATGATCCCGGCCTGATATATGACATAGAACCATCTGATTACTTATCTTATCTATGTGGTTTAAACTACACAGACAGACAAGTTGGGATCTTTCTGCAACGCAAAGCTAATTGTTCCGAGATTACTAGCATCTTAGAAGGTCAACTAAATTATCCATCATTTTCGATCCTAGTCAGAGTCAACTCAACAGCTCAAGTATATTCAAGAACTGTGACCAACGTAGGACAAGCCTACTCAACATACAGAGTTGAAATTGGTTCACCGCCGGGTCTTGATGTGAAAGTTGAACCAACTACACTTGTTTTTTCAGAGGTGAAACAAAAACTGAGCTATCAAGTGACATTTACACCATTGGCTACTTTACCAAACACCACTTTTAGTCAGGGATATTTCAGATGGATTTCTGAAAAACATATTGTTAGGAGCCAAATCGCTGTTCGATTTTTATGAAGAAGCTGATCTCAGTGACACACTGATCAAGATTTTTCATTTGCAATAAAACTATGTTCAACATAAATGTATCTTCCACTTCTGTTTTTATTTCATTTGCAATAAAATCAAATACTATTATGTTGTCTTTTTTCACTCTTGTCAACCCAACAGTACAAAAAAATGAAATCTTATACCAATTTTCCCCCCAGTAAATGTTAAGCAACTCATATTTTCAACGATGTTCGATCAGGAGAACTGTGCTGAGTCAAGATAAGACTAATAAATTAATAAGCAAAGTAAAATATCTTTAAGCTGAAAAGGAGAAATCTATAGGCAATAATTCAAAATGAATATTTTAGTTGGCCATGTTGCAAAAGCTAAGTTGACTTCTAGATTTATGGTTAGCACTTTGGAACTCCTGTGGATATGGACACCAATTCAGAATCTAAAAGTTGACTTTTGAGTATTCATTCGTGAAATTACTCAAACTTTATCATGATTATATCGAGCCTACATAATTATAGCTAGATTCTTCCAAGTAGCAAATGAAAATTACATCGCACTTGTTGTTCATCATGTCATATACAATGTTTTGGATTCAATTGCGTTGAAAAATGATTCTTTGAGTGAAATGGATATAGCAATACAAGATTGGGTGACTAGACTTTTGATTTTTGAGTGAAATGAATATAGCAATACAAGATTGGGTGACTCCTTTGGTTTCTTGGTCTATAAAATTAAAATAGTATTAATGATTAGAGATTTATAATTACGTTTTAAGTGTTTTGGTTTATGATATAAAATTTTGAAGAAGTTATTTTCACATTTTAATAGAAAGTGTTTGGCAACAACAAAACACTATAATATGATTTATTTTCCTTTCTAGCAAAAACACATTTGATATCCACTAATTTGTCCATAGGTTTGCAAGTCATATCAACTCGTAAACAACAATTGATTCCCAATGATCAATTCGTCAACAACAATGATCCCAACTTATTTATGGATTTGATTCTGAGTTCATTAATTAATATTTGGATTAGCCAAGTTTACTTCGTTTTCTTCTGTAACTTTATTTAACAGCTTTTTTATTTTGATTAATTAATAATATATTGTTTTTTTCCACCACATTCCGTTCTTACATTTAGGGAGATACAGCATTCCCCGGAATTGCAACAATGGCCAATGCAACAATCCCAAAGTTGTCAATAGTGACAACACGATGGGCACTAACCTTATCATTTAGTTGAATATTGCTTCTCAATTAACTATCAAACTAAGCGGTGATCACATCTTCGCCACCTAAAAAAGCCCAATTCAACGAAGTTTTAAAAAAAGAGATATTATGTTTATTTAATACTATATATATATATATATATATTTATATATTATTCTCATAAATTTTTAAAAACATGATAATTAATTTTTTTTCAATTGTCAATATAATATTTCTTCTCATAATTCGTAACACACGAATAGGTATAATATAAATTATTGTATGATATATAACACTGCAAATGTTTATATCTTAGATAAGTTGTTATCAATTATAGCTTATTGATTATAGTTTTAAAAAATTTATCAATTAAATTAATTGTTATACAAACTATCAAAATATTCTACAAGTAGTAGGAATATTTAAAAAAATAAAAATTGAGACTTGACCTCGATTGAGTATACCAATTACAAGTAGAAAGTAATTGCAATTTAATTGCCTACAACTTTTAATTATAATTACAAATCGTATCTATATCTATCTATACTACCTTAAAAGCATGAACTCCCAAACTTGATTGTTGAATTACTATAATACCCCCAATAAAAAATACTCAATTTATTTTTTTTATTAATTTTATTATATTGAAAGTAGATACCTTTTTAAATTAAAGGATTGTGACTTTTTCAATGAGTTGCGACTTTTCCAAAGGGTTGTCACTTTTTTGACGGGTTGTGACTTTTTCAATGAGTTGTGACTTTTCCGAAGGGTTGTGATTTTTTCGAAGGGTTGTGACTTTTCTAAAGGGTTGTGCCTTTTTCTAATGAGTTGTGCCTTTTTCAAAGGGTTGTTACTTTTTCGATAAGTAGTGACTTTTTCGCAAGGTTGTACTTTTCGGATAAGACACAATTAACACCTATTCATACTACTATTTGGTAGCTATAAAATAAAAAGGGGTTTCCTCACACTTTTAAACTACAATTTCTTTAAGTTCTCTACTCTTCCTCTTCTTAAAAAATCTCAAGTGTTATTTGCAAAAATTGAATAAGTTCCAAATTCAACGAAATTTGAGGTACCTCATAAGAAAAAGTTGGTGAAAAAATTATAGCAAATCATTCATCAATTCACAGTAGTATTTTTTCTTACCATTTTCATGAGTTCACAGTGACAAAAAGTTGTGGGAGATTGAGACAATAATATTAAACGGATATGAACAAAGGCATATGATTTGGGTAAGATATATAAATAATAATTTACATTTTATTCATCTATTAGTTTTTACTATTGAAAAATTTAAACATTTTATATCATGATACAACTTCTATATGATATGTATGCGGCAGAAAAAAGGAGAAGACAACCATTCCACAAAGATAAGGTAGAAACTTAATGAAATGAAATATTTTTCACCATAGGTGATGTTATTAATTAAAATTAAATTACTCTACTGAAGTATATAGAACCATCATTCATGATAACAACCAAATACATGTTTTTTGGTAAAATTACCTCTCTATGATAGCCTTAATCAAATATTAATAGAGTAATAATATTTTGTAAAAGATATGTTACATATAAAGATAAAATATTGAAATACTTATGGTAATCCTTATAAGTGTCATGCTCATTCTAAATTTCAAGTATTAATATTTAAGACAAAATTTATACTTAAACGGTGTACATCATTTATGCTCATAACCTCAAGAGTAAAGGATATTGGTGACATTTTTTTAATGGATATTTTTTCTCTATTTTGTTGGTTAGATTTGTTTACAAAATTGAGTGAAGTAAGAAATAATATTATTAAAGAAATGTCACTTTCTCCCATATTTAAAACTTTGAATGTATTTTGAAATGTTTTAATGATGTCTGGTCATTTTGATCTCAAAATACAAGTAACTCTATGACAATATGTATTAATAATTTAAAAACGCTTAGTCCTATGTTCGTTCAATTATAATTATTTACTAAAAAACTTTAATTTAGTAATATTAATTCTATCTTACAACATCATATACTATCATATATTACTATAAGCATGAACAAAAAAAGTTGAAAGTTGAATTACGGTTTTACCCTTCTATTAATTAAATTGTTATAAAATATTTAAATATTTGATTGTATAAGTTTAATTAAAATGTTAAATGACTTTGAGACTTCCTAAGATTAATTCCAAATTAAATATCTAATTTATTAATATTTATCATCTATAATCTATATATATATATATAAAGTCTATACCTAAATTGAAGTTGAAAGTTGAATTACGGTTTTACCCCTTCTATTAATTAAATTGTTATAAAATATTTAAATATTTGATTGTATAAGTTTAATTAAAATGTTAAATGACTTTTAGACTTCCTAAGATTAATTCCTAATTAAATATCAGGGTGCAAATTGCAAAATGGAGACGCACACATTGATAATGTCCTCTTGATTATTATTAAAGAATGACTCTAGCTTCACAAATTTAAATTCATTGATGCTTAATTACATGATAAGAACTTTTAGTTGTTCTTTCTACATGGTTTGCTAACTTTAATTTTCTTTTTCATATTCTTCATTTATTTACTATTATTTTCTAATTACTTATTCAACTTTTATACTCTTAATATTCATAACTCTCATCTTTTCATATTCATAACCTCTAAATATTTAAACTAGCACTTTAAGATATCTTTTGATATTCCTTCTATTCTATCTATATAAATTCAACTTCTTTATCTCATGAAATCCCTACCAAGATTATTAGGCTATTATTATTTTTATTCTATAGTTAAAGTAGATGAAGAAGACTCTTGAATTTTGATAGGATATGGAAGGAATCGATAAGAACTCGGAGAGTTATGTACTAATTTTGTACTTATTTTTTCATCTATATATGTATCAGTCTTATAAGAATAATGTCTACCTTGTATTTTTTCTTAAATCTGTTTCTTTTTGTCTTTTTTTTCTCTAATAGACTTCTTAATTTAGTTTTCTATGAATGTTTTATTGTCGTAAGTCTTTATACTTATTTTGTAATTGTTGCATTTTATTGTTCATTACAATTTACATATATATATTTTCATGAAATTTTAGTCATTCTAACGTATCTATAAAAATTCACATGAAACACACGTGCGAAGCACGTGCTCAGAAACTAGTATATACGATACACACATGCAACGCACGTGCCGTAAAACTAGTTTTAAGAAAAATAATAAAAATTTAAAAGTTTATGCATAATGATTGGTAAAAGATTGACAACAAACTAGTAACAAAATTTCAATGAATACTAACAATAAATACATAATTACTTGTATTTATATGTATTACCATTAAATAATTTTGACGCCGGGGCTTAAAGTCATTGCTTCCGTGGCTTAATTGACGTAGACGTTTACTTAACACCATTGTCTGGCCGCCCAAGAGTTAATTTTGGATTTTTAGTAGTATTAAAATTGGATATTTGAATTTTTTGGTAGGATTTTAGCTAAGCTTCCAAATGATTAGGATTGAACTACTAATTTAATCAGCCAATTAAATAAATAATACAGTTTTCGTCTCAAACAATCCAGCGTTCTGGTTTGCTTCATGTCTTCTTGTTATGTTTCTTCCTTTATTCTAAAATAAATTAACAATAACTTTGTTGATAAGCCGGTTTCTTTGCTTGGTTTATCGTATCCTTATTCTTCCGTTAACTCGTAGTATAAAGAACCTGTTTCTTCACTAGGTATTGTATATGATGATAGAAAGACTAACCATGACTTGCATTTTTATCATCACGTTTGCTTTTTGGTTGATTTTTCATTTCGTAGTTGCTCAACCTCAGACCGGTTTGCAAAATTATCTTGTTCATGTAAATAAGCCTGATGTACAAGTTGTGACTAATTCAGCTGATTTGAAAAGTTATTATAACTCTTTTTTACCGGTAGAGATTGTTGGTTCAGAGGAGCCATCGCGAATTATTCACTCATATCACCATGTGGTATCTGGCTTCGCAGCCAGGTTGTCAGCTGAGGAGGTAAAAGAAATGGAAATGAAAGATGGTTTTGTGTACGCGAGGGTTGAGAAGATTTTAGCTTTGCATACAACGCATACTCCAAACTTTTTGGGGTTGTATCGGAATGTGGGGTTCTGGCAAGAGTCAAATTATGGTAAAGGTGTGATTATTGGGGTTCTAGACACTGGGATTAATCCAGGTCATCCATCTTTTAGTGATAAAAACATGCCACCTTCACCGGAGAAATGGAAAGGGAAATGTGAATTCATAGGGAATGTAACGTGTAATAAGAAGCTTATTGGTGCGAGGAATTTTGTGAGGGGTTCAACTGATCCACCTTTTGAAGAAGGAGGCCATGGCACGCTTACATCAAGCGTAGCTGCTGGAAACTTTGTTGATGATGCAAATGTGTTTGGCAATGCTAATGGCACAGCAGCCGGAATGGCTCCTCTTGCTCACATTGCTATGTACAAGGTGTGTTCAGACTCTGGTTGTTCCGATGTTGACACATTGGCTGCAATTGATGCTGCAATAGACGATGGTGTTGACGTGCTTTCTCTCTCCATTGGTGGATATACTGCTCCATTTTATGATGATGGTATGGCCATTGGCGCTTTTGCTGCAATCCAAAAGGGTATCTTCATGAGTGCTTCTGCTGGTAACGATGGTCCACTCAGTGCTACACTATCAAATGTGGCCCCTTGGATTCTCACAGTTGGCGCTAGCACCCATGATAGGAAGATAGTGGCAACCGTTGTATTAGGAAATGGACAAGAATATGACGGTGAATCAATTTTTAACCCCTCAGACTGTCATACCTTTTTTCCTTTGGTGTACCCTGGCTTGTTAAATCAAGAATCTGCAGTATGTAAATCAGGATCACTGAATAACGCTAATGTCAAAGGCAAAATTGTCGTGTGTGACAAAGGCGGTGGTGTAACAAGACTTGAGAAAGGGAAAACAGTAAGGGATGCAGGTGGTGTTGCTATGGTTCTTGTCAATCTAGAGATTGACGGAGATGGCACATTAGCTTATGTTGATGTCCTTCCTACGACAAATGTAGGTTATAGTACAGGAGAAATGATTAAAGCCTACGTAAACTCAACCTCCACACCTTTGGCCGGAATCCTTTTCAAAGGCACTAGCATAGGCTTTAAGAGTGCACCATCAGTATCGTCTTTTTCCTCTAGGGGTCCTAGCTTGGCAAGTCCAGGCATACTCAAACCAGACATTATCGGTCCTGGAGTGAACATCCTTGCAGCAACACACGTTTCAGCGGAGAACAAAATTGGCACCTATTTGACATTTAACATCGTCTCAGGTACCTCAATCTCATGTCCTCACCTTAGTGGCATTGTGGCTCTGGTTAAAAGTGCACACCCTGATTGGTCACCAGCTGCTATTAAATCCGCGATAATGACTACAGCTGATCAATTCAATCTTGAAGGTCAGCCCATCCTTGATCAGAGGAATCTACCAGCTGATATTTTTGCTACTGGTGCCGGACATGTAAATCCATCAAAAGCAAATGATCCGGGACTTATTTATGACATCCAACCGCATAACTACATCATGTATCTATGCGGTCTTGGCTACACCGATAAACAAATTGGACTCATAGTGCAACAAACTATCAAATGCTCACTACAATCAACCATACTTGAGGCAGAACTAAACTATCCTTCTTTCTCTATTATACTAGGACAACAGTCACAAAATTATACAAGAACGGTTACAAATGTTGGTGATGCAAGCTCAACTTATGTCGTTAACATCATTCAAATTCGAGGAGTCCATATAGTTGTTGAGCCAACCACACTTGCCTTCACCAAGGTGAACCAACAAGCAACTTATTCAGTTTCCTTTACACAAATAGGTAGTAGCATCACTGGCCATTTTGTTCAAGGAACTATATCATGGATGTCTAATAAGTATGTTGTTAGAAGCCCAATCTCTGTTGAATTGGAATAAGGGGCTATCTTTTTGTAAAATTATAAACAAGTTTCAAAAAGTGGTTGTATGTTAGATTGGGCCTAATAGGCACGCTTAATCAGAACCGAGAATCCTCTCTGAGAGATGCGGGCTAGATTATAAGGGCTAGATTATAAACAAGTTTCGCGGGCTAGATTATATGGGCTAGATTATAAACAAGTTTCAAAAAGTGGTTGTATGTTAGATTGGGCCTAATAGGCACGCTTAATCAGAACCGAGGAATCCTCTCTAAGAGATTGCGGGCTAGTGGCGCCATTTGGACCACTAGTTATTTCCCGCAACTTTGGGGCCTCTTAAGCATTAACCCCTAGATTATAAGGGCTAGATTATAAACAAGTTTCGCGGGCTAGATTATAAGGGTTAGATTATAAACAAGTTTCAAAAAGTGGTTGTATGTTAGATTGGGCCTAATAGGCACGCTTAATCAGAACCGAGGAATCCTCTCTAAGAGATTGCGGGCTAGTGGCGCCATTTGGACCACTAGTTATTTCCCGCAACTTTGGGGCCTCTCAAGCATTAACCCCATCAATGGTTTTTAATGCTACCAGCTCATGTAGAGCTGTGGCGTGCACCATTCTGCCAAGAGTAGAGAAGCCCAACGGCACCCGCATTATCAAGCCCATTTATCAAACATCCAAACCACTTTAATGCCCCACTTGGTTACAAGCCAACGTTACATGGCTCGGCGATAAGTTACAACCAGTTAATCATATTTAAACCTTAAACTAATTTTATTTTTTCTCGATGTGGGATTAGAGTAAATCACATAGTCTTTTACTGCACATAAAGCCAAAGAAAAGAAGAAGAAAAATAAGAATACGCCAATATATCTATCAATTTATATTTAAAAAGATGTTTAATTCACAAAAAAAAATTAATAAACCTTCTTGATACTACTCTTTCCGTTTATTTTTACTTGTTAACTCGGCACACCTATTAAGAAAATAATTGTTGATATAGGTATTTTACCACATTGTCCCTATTAATTGATGTTTAGTATTTGGTTTTGATATTTAAAGCTAAGGGTAAAATATGGAAGAAAATAATTGTCTTTTCTTGATATGCCAAACTAACAAGTAAAAATGAAAATTTATTTTAGGAATAAATTACAAGTAAAAGTGAACGTAGAGAGTATTAGGGCTAGGCATAAAATATAGAAAACTGAATTACCGAATCAAATCAAAAAATTTGGTAATTTTGGTATTCGGTTTGGTATTTGGGTGTAAAACTATAAAATTATGATATTCGGATTTGGGTTTGGTATGAGACATTAGTACCACTTGGTATTCGGTATTTCCCGAATATCGAATTATTCTTAATGAAGGTCACATATCAACATGTCTATTACTCATTAGTATAAGTGGAAAGAGAAAGTTAAAGAATAAACATAAACAACTCAAATACATGTCTTTTAGTTTTATCAGTTTGCTTTTTTTTATGTCCTCTTACTTGTTGATCTTCTATTATATGTGCCTCCACATAAAAAAAAACATAGAAATAATTGGAGAAATAGTATTAACTTTGTAATACAATCGGCTAAAACTTCAATATAGTATTACCGAATATCGTACCAAATCAAAATTTAATTTATTGATTATCAAATTATCGAATCGAAATTTAATATTTTAATATTTAATCTACTTTTAACTATCAATTACAAAAGTATCGAACCAAATTTGAGAATCCCGAACGAATACAGATGCCCACCCCTAGGGAGTATTTCAAACAAATGATCTTTATATTAAAAAAAATAAAAAATTGTTCAAGTATGTTGGTATATGCCCAATCTTTGTTAAATTGGAATAAGGGACCATGTCTAGGGAGTATTTCAAACAAATGATCTTTATATTAAAAAAAAAAATTGTTCAAGTATGTTGATATATGCCCAGTCTTTGTTAAATTGGAATAAGGGACCATCTTATTTTATAGGGAAAATTGTATATAATAGCAAACTATTAATTCAAATTAAATGCTATAAATATAGTTTGATTTAATTGTACCTCATAGCAAATTGTTGCTATTTCACCTCTCTCCTGGTGAATCTCGCTCGCCACTCTCGTTCTCCCCTTGCCTCTCTCGTTTTTTATACAAACGCAAGTGTATAAAGTGCATTTGTGTTTGTATAAAGCGAGAGAAAATTGTATATACACATGCAAATACATATATCTTCGTCCTATACACTTATAATTATACAATACAAATATTCCCCTGTCCCCTCTCTCCCCTCTCCCAGATCTCGCTCTCTCACTTTATACAAAAACGCAAATGTATAAAATGCGTGAAAATTGTATATATACATATATTTTCGTTCCCCTCTCTCCCCTCTCCCAGATCTCGCTCTCTCACTTTATACAAAAACGCAAATGTATAAAATGCGTGAAAATTGTATATATACATATACTTTCGTTCCCCTCTCCTAGATCTCTCTCGCCACTCTCTCAGATCTCGTTCGCTCACTCGCCTCTCTCACTTTATACAATTGATCTTTTTGTATATGTATACCAAAACAGATTATACAACTGTTTTTTTTTTTATGTATAGCGAATTATACATTTATATGTTTGCTATGAAGCGCAATTATGCAAACTTTGCTATAGCATACAAATATGAATTTTGTGTTTGATATATGTGAAAGTTGCTCTATTTTATAATCGTATCAAATCAAACCAAATCACATCAAACCATACACGCTAATAAAAATTGGGCCAAGAGAGATTGGGTTAGGACAACCCATTTTGACATCAACGGGCCAATAGAGGCTGTGTTATTGAGCTTCACTTTTAAATGGGCTAAGAAATTTTAGCCCAACCATATATACTTGAATAAAAGATTGGGTCAAATCCATTTTAACAGCTCTACTTTGATATGAATTTACGAAAAATTATGTAATTAAACATATTTCACTATCATATATACTATTATTATATATACTTCTAAAATATTATGTATCTTACTACTAATTAAGAGTTTCTTACCATATCTTGAGGAATATACACTTAGATACATATATTATTGTTATCAGATACACAAAGATGGGGAGGGAGGCAAACAAGATTCGATATGTATCCAGACACATGTGAATCACACTAGATATATTTATCATATATATATGTAGTGTGATTCACATGTATCTCAAATCCCAGATACATAGGAGAGTGGCGAGCGAGATGGAAGTGAGGTGAGAAAGACAAACGAGATTTGTTATATATCTCAGATACATGTAAATCCACTTTGATACAATGTATTTAGAACAAATTACACCTATTTTTGACATCATGTATCTTAGATTCATATATCTAGATGTAACTGAATGTATTTCGATGCACCAAAATCTGGTAAGATACATAATATTGCAAATTAATATGTATCTAAGTAATTAACTCATAAACTTTTCTCCCCTCGTACAAAGCCTTTTTCTTAGCTCAATTATTTGTTATATTAAAACATCTAAACTTAAATAGCTTTTTACACCACGATGAACCAAAAAAAAAAACAATTTAAACACGAATCAATTTTATTTTTTTAAAATATTGTTCATGACATGATTGAACAACCAAAACATCGGAATACATCTACGTAACATTATCTATATAAAAGTAGTATATTATGTCAAATACAATCCTATCACTCATTTGTACTGAATTACATCAAATTTCTCTATCTAAATAAAAAAATAGTAGATACAATCCTATCACTTGTTTGCACTGAATTACGTCAAAATTTATCTCATCACAACTCGCACCTACCTAAAAAACAAAAATTTAAAAATTGTGGACCCATAAAGATTGTGATGTTATTTTAAATTTTGTCTACTTTCAAACATACCAGGAAATTAGGAAAAAGTGACTGAATTTTCTTCTGATCTAAAAAAAAAAAAAAAGTAAAACACAGTCCACAAGAACTCTCACTATTTATCTGCCCTAAAATTTAAATACGCGTCCGCTACGCCATCCTCACATTAAATTTCACCATTAATGTCAAATACCTAAGCTTTCACTTTGAAATTATGTCACTGTAGTGATTTTGTCCACTTGTTTTTGACTTATTCAAAAACAAAAATGGGCGGCTACAGTGGCGATTCTTCAAAATCTTCAGCTGAATCTAGCTTTCGAGAACTTGATGATGTGTTCTTGCAGGTGAATTGACTTTCGTCTTTTTTGCTTTTTTGGGAATTTTTTGAATTTTGTGGTTAATTTTTTTTAGTTTTTTTTCAGACTCAAACAAGAATATGGCTTGGGGAAGTGTTGAAAATGAGATTGGATGGACACTTACATATTTCTGATTTGCTTGCTGATGGGGATCTTTTGTAAGTTTTTTCCCTTTTCCCTATAGTCTTTTCTTGGGTTTTACTGATGTTTTTATGGTAAAGGTAGAATTTTTCATTTTTTGTTGAAGTTTCTAAGTAGAGATTTTCCAACTGTTTTGGTGTTTCAATGATGGTTTCAATTGGTATTGGGTGCTGGTGGGAGGTGGTAGGTATCTGTGGAATTAGTCGAGGTGTACACTAGCTGGCCCGAACAAGATTGCTTACAATGCTGTGACTAATTGTTCTAGTTCTTGCACCTTGACACTGTTACATTTTTATTTTTCGTTTTTGGCTTAATTTGATGTTGCTTGTATCCAGTTTGTCTTGTTAATGTTGTGTTTGATAAGGAAAAAGCTTTATTGCAGTTAGTGGGATTAAACTAAGAACACGTTGATTATGGAGACTTTGTATTACTTTTGCGTCTACTTTGTTATATTTTCTTGTTTTGGAATCAAAACTGAAATTTTTTTCAAGTTTTTATTTTTAGCTACCAATAGAAGATAAAAATCAATCTATTGATTCTCGAATATGGTGTTAAAATCATGTATGTACACTTGGAATTGTGTGATATTCTTGATGTTCTATCAAGCCTATCCTAATAATTATTTTTCCTTACCTCAAAAGAACATATGGCACAAAGTAAGCCCTTTTAAGTCCCTAAAGTTCTCCTTGT